CATACAGAGTTGAAATGGTAGAGTTGAAATCACAGTTTGAGACGGGCAGGAAGGTAAGTCCTGGCTCTGACCTTGTTGTGCTGGCCTCATATGGCTGTATCTGGTTGCAGTAACTCAGCACCTGACATTATGCCTGTACAAATTATTAGAATTCAGTCCCCAGGTTAAGTTCTGCCCTCACTCACCCTCAGCCAGCTTGTGTTTGTAGTGCACCTGGCTGCTGCTCCAGAACTGAGTCCTGAAGTGCAGAGCCAGCCTGGATGCTGTAGAGATCTACACATATTGGCTCTTAAGATGCAATTAATAACGTGTCAGATTTATATACAAGCTACAGATTTGGAATCTTTTAAAGGAATTTTTTTAAAAGCTGGACATTGGCTATTCTCCATCTTTCTGCCTTTGTACTGCTGAACAGTTCCCAGTAATCTCTGTTGTGAGACACATGGCTGATGAATCCATTAAGTACCAGTGAGTTGCTGGTGGGTGTGGCAATCCAGCTGGTTAGGCTTAGAAATGGCTGTCCCATGCTTCCTTACATTAGGTGCAGTGCTGCAGCATGCTTCCCTTCCTCCACAGTCCTACAGGCAGACCTGCTTCTCATTGTATTTTCTTCTTGTGGAAGTGAGGTAGGGCAAACACTGAGAATTAAACCAGTAAACACTGTTTCCAGTGAAGATGGTTGGTGGGTTTTTTTCATACATGAGGGTTGAAAGAGGACGTCCATGTCTTTACTAAGTGGAAGTTAACATATGGAGTTAAAATCCTTTACTGTTTGAGAAAGTGGATGGTGAAGAACCACAGGCTTCTGTATTGAGGAAGTAAAAGCTCCTTAGAAAGCAGAAACACCTCAAGTTTAAACTGTAAGAGTTGTGCATCAGGGAAATAAGTCATTGCCATATTGGCACACTGCATTCTCAGGATTTTTAAAATGAAATTGTTCCATTCAGACTCATTACTTTGGTATTGCCTTATATGACAAATGGCAATCGGACAAGAAAACATGGGGCCTTTTCACTTACAGAAAACAAGGAAGAATATATTTTCTCTTACAGCCTACCTAATAATCTCCCATTCACAATGAAATCCTCCCATGCTGTCTATCGTGGGACCAACTCCTGTGTCTAAGTATTTTAGAGTGTAGACAACAGGAGAAAGAAATATCCAAGTAGATCCCTGAAATTTAGCTGCTCTGTATGGTAACCAGAGGGGCTGACTGCAAGAAGCACACTTGATTTCAGAGAATGTAGCAGGGGATGAAGCCCACTGAAAGAGAAATGTGCTTTTTCCAGCTGCCCATGGATTTCCCATGAATGGATTTCCCATGAAATCACATCTCCTGATAGGAGTAGCTGGGTATTTCTGCATAATCAGGGAACTGGAATAAAATGATTGCTCCAGTGAGAGGACAAAAATTAGGATGTACCACTTCTCACAGTTATTTTGCACGACTTGATCTCTAATCTTTGAGAGCTGGGAGGGAGGCAAGATGAAAGAAGTGAGTGTTCCTGTTAAAAACATCTATCTTATTTGCCTGTTTCTTAAAAAAGAAGAAAGCAACACTTGCAATTATCTCATGGGCATTAATGTCCTTATGTGGAACTGCTTATATGACAGAATGAATAAATTGTTTTGAGCACAGTGATCCAGGTAGTAATTTTCTAATAGTATGTTGATTTTGCTTTAGTTGTATAGTGCATTTAAAAACCAAAACCAGCTGTGGTACAGCAACATGGTTGGGTGCAGTGACTAGAAACCAGAGCAACTGCGTGGTCTTAGTATTTGCAGTGGTCTTGAACAGATGTGTGTCTCAGTGGAAGGACACAGTGAGACTTGTGGGATCAGCTGTCTCAGGATGACAGCCAGTGTGATCATCTGTATCTCCAGATGCTTCAGTGGATCTTGAATGACAAATATATGGAAACATTTCAAAAATGCTAGCAAATAGGCACACAATTTCTCATTTCATCCCTAAAGATGTTGTTTATTTCTAAAATACCCAAACCATAATAAAAATGGAGTAAAATTTTCTTCTCCTTTATATATCTGCTGGCAGGTAGTCTAGAATTAGTTTTAAAATCCTTAGGAAGGTACTTACTGCAGAGCAGTACACAAATTCCAGAATAAATGAGAGCCAACAATATGCCACTTTTAATAATACTGTAACAAAATAGTTTTTAAAACAGTACTCAACTTTTCCAGTTGTTCAAGAAGCAATGTAGATGTAGACTCCTGCTTGTTACTACATTCATGCATATTTATCAAGTAACTACAGTAAGTGACACTATTGGTCAAAGCATCACCACTTTTTTTTCTTTTGTTCTTTTCACATGATATACAGTAGGCTAAAAAAAGACTAATGTTGTGTTCTTGGAGTCCTATGGGTGAAGAGCTTCTTACCCCTACACCATCACACACCATGACTGTGCATGTGTGTGGGAATAGTTACAGCATAACTGAGCTGCTGTAACAACAAAGAGAAAAGCAGGGATGTAAAGATGCAGTTACTTGTCTTTTCCAAATAGTTGTGTTCAAAGGCAACACCATGGGGAAAGATCATCAATGATCTATAACATTATTACACCTCTCTAACTGAGGGGAATTGATGGCAATTATATAAATTAATGCCATAACTGTAATAGCCTGGCTGTTAGCACCAGACTCACCCTGGAACAGCAGTATTCTTTTTCAGACTGGTGAATCACGGAATCATTTATACTGGAAGACAACTCTTGATATCATCTAATCCAGCTGTTAACCCAGCGTTGCCAAGTCCACCACTAAACCATGTCTCTGTGATGCCTTGTGAAGGCTGACCTAGAACAGAGACTTGACAGAGTTAAAGAATAAAGTAGGTATTATTAGAAGGCCTCAATGACTACACCTTGGGCAGTACAAGAGCCCAGCCAGGGCTACACCCAAGATGAACCCAAAATGGTCACAAAATGGATGACCAGTCATGAGGTCTCTCACTTTTATAAGTTCTGGTCCATTAGCATATTGGAGTTAATTAGCTAAGTATAGCTTTAGATTATGAAGTTCCATCCTTCTTGTTTTTCTCTCTTCATTCCACTGTTGTTTACACTCTTGGGCCTGAAATTTGGATCATTTGTCCTTGGTCTCCAGAACCAAGGGTCCTTTGTCTACCTATTCTGTGAAGAGACCTTACTATCCCCTAATATGGAGCTCAGAATTACACACTAAAGCAGTACAGAATCTGAAACATGTAAAAGCTAAAAACCTGAGGCATCACCTGAGTGCCATATCTACAAGTCTTTTAAATACCTGTAGGTATTAAATGGTGACTTCACCACTTCCCTGAGAAGCCTGTTCCAATGCCTGACCACCTTTCTGGTGAACATGTTTTTCCTAATATCAAATCTAAACTCCCCTGGCACAGCTTGAGGGCATTTCTTCTTGTCCAGTGCCTTGTTACTTGAGAGAAGTGACTGACCCCCACATTGGTACAGTATCCTTTTGGGTTACAGAGAGTGATAAGGTCCCCTCTGAATCTCCTCAAGCCAGGATGTTGTTGGCCTTCTTGACCACCTGAGCACACACTGGCCCCTGTTCAGCATATTTAGCCACTGCCAGCCAGCACACCCTGGTCCTTTAGTGTCAGGCAGATTTCCAGCCACTCTGCTCCCAGCGGTGCCTTGGGTTGTTGTAACCCAGGTCTAGGAACCCAGAAAAGCTGTAAAAAGGGGAATCAGAGGGTGGTTGGGATTGAAAGGGATGGCTACAGGTCATCTGGTCCAACACCCCTGGCCAAACAGGGTCACCTAGGTGCCAGTTGCTGAGGACAAAGTCCAGATGGCTTTTGATTATCTTTAAGGAGTGAGATTCTACAAGGTCTGTGGGCAACCTGTTCCAAGGCTCAGTCACTTGCACAGTCAAAAAGTGCTGTCTGATGTTCTGACAGCACCTCTTGTGTTGCAACTGCCCATTTCCTCTGGTTCTGTCACTGGACATCATTGAAAAGAGTCTGGGTCCATCTTTATACCCTCCCTTCAAATATTTATATACATTGGAGAGATCCCCTCTGAGCCTTCTCTTTTCTAGGCTGATGAGTCTCAGCTCTCTCAGCCTTTCCTCATAGAAGAGATGCTCTCAGCCCCTTCATCACCTTTGTAGGACTCTCTTCAGCATGGCCACGTCTTCTTTGCACTGGGGAGCCCAGAATTTGGACACAGCCCATGTGGCCACACACCAGGTGTGGCCTCACTAGTGCTGAGCAGAGGGGAAGAATCACTTCCCACACACCTCCCTGGCACCACTCCTCCCAATGCACAAAAATAAGGGTAATAAATGCTAGAAATAAACATCTTAGGACCAGATTTGAACATCTGTGATCTAAAGACCTTACCTAAGGTCTGAATATTAAAAGCATTAGTTCAAGTCTTGTCTGCTGCTAGGCTGTTACTTTTCCCCATCCAACTCTATTTAAACCAACAACCACTTTGGGGGCGGAGTGTTCCATGTGGTGTGTTTTGGGCAATGAACTTTCACTGCTAGCAAACAGTAGTAGCTCTGAAATGTAGGTTTTGGACCCCTCATCCAAAGGCTTTGGAATTGCTGGGTAAAGGCAATCTATCACAGAAAAGGTAAATCCCCACTTTGCCAGCAGGAAAAGACAGGACACATGCCCTTACATACGCTCATCACGGCACGTGTATTCACACACACCATTTCTTTTTCTTGCTTACAATAGAGCAACTTCCTTTTCCTTTACTTTGGAAAGCTTCTGTCATCTTTGTCAAGTCCATGACCACCCTACCTAGCTGGGCTTCTTCAGACACTATCCTATAAGGATATGTAATCATTAGGAGGTAGGCTCATTAGCAGCCACAGCTCCTTGGCATCTCCTCTTCATGCTTCACGAGAAAAGGGTTGAGGGCCCATCTCTTCATGAAAGTGACATCCTGCTGCAATCTGAGGCCAGGCAGAATGGAAGAAGTGAAGAAACATTAAGACAGACTAAAGATAGGATATTAGTTTGACAGTTCATTGAAAAAAATGTCTAAATAATAACTGGAGAATTTCCAAAAATTATGATGGAAGGGGAAAAAAGAACTACAGGCACGTAGCACAAAACATTCTGAGGTAACATTGTCAGCACAATAAGAATGAGAATTGTTTCAACACTACAAAGAATTTAAATTTTATGCTGCTTTGCTTAAAAAATATTCACCTATATACAGTAATTTAAAAGCCTGTACTACTAACATTCCTGTAGTATGTAGGTCAGTTCAAAAGGTATAATTTATATTGTTTTACAGTTTATAGAAATGTTAATATTGCAGTACTTGTGACTCAAGTACAATCTGTCACTGCAACAGGGACCCCTTCTGTCTTATATATTATCTTGATCTTCTTTTTTAATACTAGTCCAGAGAACATCAGAAGACTCTTCTCATCTCACGTGTGTTCTTAATGGAGGATTTTTAGAGGGATCTGTAAATAGATAGGACAGATTTTAAATAGGTATTTTGGACGCAGTTATACAGCAGGGATGCTGCATTTATTTGCTACCCCTGGTATATACATACATATGTTTACATACATACACACACATATTGCTTGTGCTCTGCAGCCCTTCAGTAAAAAGTCAGAATATACAGCAGACAATTTAGCCTGAGGCTGCTATGAAAAGTCATGCTAAGTACCTTAGCATGGAAACAAAAAAAAGGTTAATTAAAAGTTGGAGATCTAATAATACAGAAAACTGGGTTTTATAAAAAAACAGAATATGGGCATGAGATCTTTTGGCACTTTAAACTACCCATTTTCAAAACTGGATAGCTAAACTGTTCTTACAACAGTGACCTGATTCTAAGTTACTAAGTTAAGAAAGGAGAAAAAAAATAAAGCAAGGTTCAGCCATTTATCACTTTCTGACAAAGTTCAGGTACTAAGTCTCTTTGTTATTCAGGTGTGTAAAACACCACGCATAGGATTTAAGTCACAATACATAATGGAAGACATGGATCAAGTTGTCTTTCTCTGCGATTTCACAAATTAGTGAACAAAAAAGTCAAACTCAGTAGCTGCCCAAGTCTATTTTTACAACATGACTATTTTAACATCACAGACTTTGCAAATTTAGCAATCTAAAAACATAGGCTGCATGTCCAGCCACAACATTTGTATTTAGCTAAGACTCTAAAGTAACTAAGTGCTTTTCATTATATCTTTAGTCCCTGTTGCCACTGTGAGAAATCCCATTCCTCTCTGTGCCAGTGCTAGCAGTCCAGTTATGCTAATGCTGGTTCAGTTCTTTATTTTGCATCCCCATTTTTAAACCTCTTGATAATGATCAGATCTTTCCATGTTTACACACTTACCTCTGGGTATCTTGCTGGGATATGTTTTCTGAAATGGTTTGAATTCATCAGGTGGAGGGAAATCTTCCACAGAATGGAAAGTAAATTTTGATTCAAAGTCATCTGGGAAGTTTCAGGGAAATAAACATTAGCTGATGCTGGAGAGAAACTTAAAACAACAACAACAAAAAACAAACAAAAATACCCAAAAAAACCCTCCCAAAAACCCCAAAACCCAACAATGTTGCCACAAGTAATTTCTATTAAAAATGTTGGCTTATTTCCTCCTGAAACTGATAGTGGCTCATTCTATAGAAAACATCTTGAATACTTCTGTGAGCCATCCAAGCTTTTTGCCTTAATTGCAATCACGGCCTGCTGTTAAAACTGAAGTTAAGTTTCTGTCTGCTGTTCCAGTTTTCTGCATTGATGGTACTATGGTAATAGAGGTATTCATTGGTAGTTTAAGACATGTAGCTGTAAACAAGAATGAATGGCCAATTCATCAGACCACAAAAATAATTCTTACTGGTCTTTGCCCTATAGGAGTGAAACCTCTAAATGTCCACAATCTGGTTTGAAGAATGGTAATATAAGCACATTTTGGGAACTTCTAATATTTTTAAGTAACTTTGCAGGTAGTGCGTGCTTTTCTTTTCTACCGACTGAATTCAAATCCTTTTTAAAAAAGCCTTAATTTTCTATAATTGTGTAAGGTTGTACAAAAATGTTTCTATTACACTAGCCTGTTATTGCTAGGGCAAAGTCTTGAGTGAGTTTTTGAGATCTGAGACACTCATAGGCTTTTGTTCTAAAATGATTAATTACAGACAAGATATTTAATTTAATGATATTACCAATGATGTGCATATTTCCATTTTTAAGTGGTGTGTAGGGGTCATGAGTTGTAGCCCAGGCTGAGACTCCAGACTTGCTTGTAAGTTCAGTTGTTGGGGATCTTGCAGGTGGCTGTGGAGGTGTGACCAGCTTCCCAGCACCGGTTCCTTTAAAAAAAACCCAGGATACCAGCACATAAGCATCATCATGACTTAACCCAACAGTAAACTACAAAAAAATGGAGGGGGTGCAGAAAGAATTGCAGTATTTGGGGCAAACATACCCACAGACGTTGTTTGCCAAGCCTGACCACAGATTTGTGCATTAAGTATTAAATTCAAGTCGCTACTGGAATTGGCTGGGGCTTTCCATTTCCAGTTCTAAGGAAAGTGTGACATTGTGAAGTGTGGTTTTGTCCCAGTCTGGAAGGGAAGATTATCCTTCCACTTTCACAAGAAGAAGCAGTCTCTTTAAGCAAAGGAAATCAACAAAACAAGCACACTAGGTGGTATGTCTAAAAGAAAATTTCCTGACGCTTTGGCAGCTATGCAATGGAATTACCATTAGTCTTGTGCATTTCACTGAGGAGTTGCAAGGGCCATCAAAATTTACATCTGGAAGAACACAGGAGTTGTGTGAGGGGGAGGGAGCCCAAGGCCTCCAAGTTAGCAACCTCTCAAAACTGCTTATTCTCCTACATAACAAGGGACAGGCAGGGTAATTTTATGGAAAACATACAAATTGAACTACCATGAGAAATGGTCATCTCAACATAGCAACAGTTCATCAGGGAGTTCTGAGCAGCATTAAGCACCACCACAAGGCACCTGACCTGCTGTACTTACATGGCCTTTCCCCTGGCTCTCAAAGGGAACCAGTAATCTTTCTCCTGACATGTGGCTGCTAAAATACAGGGTACAGAACATTCTCTTTCAGATGTTCCCTGTTAAGTAGTTATCTCCATTTCTCAAACCCACACAGATCTAGGCTCATCTTTTTTATTATTTTCATTACATTAGAGGAGTCTAACAAAATTTCCTCCTATCATCTACTCAAGGAAATACTGGATAATACCCCACTTCCCAAGCAGTTGGAGAAGCCTTTGGCCCAACTGCCTTGATTGCAGGAGGCACTGGCTGCTTCCCTTTGTTGAAGAGCAGAGGGCTGCAGCCAGATTTGCTTTTGCTCACCTATGGCTCTGGTAGCTGCCCCATCTCTGTTTCATTATGCTCTCTAGTGTTTCCCAGCTGTTGCCAGTATTGCTCCTACATGGCTACAGCTGTAGATTGGTATCCTAGGCAGGCTGGCACATGAGCAGCTGCTGACCTGGCAGACACCGTGGTGTATAGTCTGCTCCCTCACCTGAGCCTGTCAGGTACAACCCATTGCACTGTTGGAGACCTACCAATGCCAACACAAAAACAAGAAGCAGTCCAGTGGTCCTAAGAGTTGTCTCCACTGATCAGCATGTTGCTTCCAAGAGTGGCAGCTTAGACAATAAGGCATGTGTGCCCGGTGCTAAGAACTGCCTGGCACCTCAAAAAGCCGAGTGTTTTGGGTGTTCATCACGAGCCGTGCAACCTAGGGGGATTCCTCCCATGTGTGCTCTCCATCCCCACCCTCCTTGCTCTCCAGTCACCAGTGTAATTGAATGGTTTGGGTTCGAAGGCAGCCTTGAAGAACTAAGTCATCTTCAAGGTCCTGTTCTAACCCAAATCATTCTGTGATTTTCCCCGCTAGCCGAAGGGAGGGAAAAGCCTCCTTCCTTCGGGGGTGCCTCTCTCACCTGCGCCTCGGCCGGGTCTCTTCTTCCTGGTCTCTCCCACGGCTGCGGGCTGAGGGGGGCCGGGGGTGGGTGGCAGCGGCAGCGACTGGATGTTGCTCGGCTTATGGAACTGTGACAGCACGTGGGGAGACTTGGGGGGCAGCGGAGGGGGCACGTCGGCACCGCTGAAGGCCGGGGACGGGGAAAAGGAGAGCCTGTTTGCGGGCGGGGGGTGGCCGTGTGGCGGCGGAGGAGGCGGCGGCGCGGGAGGGGGACAGTCCCTTCCCTCGGCCGGAGCGGCGGCGGCCGCAGAGGCCTCGGCGGCCCTGCCCGGCAGCGCGCAGGGGGGCACGGGGGGCAGCGGGGGAGGAGGAGGAGGAGGAGGAGGAGGAGGGGGCGGCGGGGGCGGAGCGCCTGCTTGGGGCTTGGTGGGTTTGTCAGCCTGAGGGGGAGGGAGCGGGGCCGGGGGAGCAGCGCCGGGGGTCACCCCCTTGGCAGGGCGATCGGCCGGAGGGGGCACAGGGGGAGGAGGAGGGAAGGTGAGGGAAGGCTTGCTGGAAGCGGGGGGCGGCGGAGGGGGCGCGGGCAGGCTGGGCCGCCCGGGACCCGCTCCCGCTGCGGCTCGGGAGGTGCCGGGAGGCTCCGGTGGGACAGCTGCCCTTGGAACCTCGGCCGGCTGCGAGGGGGTGCTGTTCGCCTTGGCAGCGCCGCTGCTCGGCGGTGCGGAGGGTCTAGGGGATGCTGCTCGGCCTCCGGAGAGCTTCCCTGCTGGAAACCAGGTATCACATGTTACACACCGCGATTGCGCTCCCACTCCTCAGACCGAACACCGATAAAGACAAGCTCTTCATCTTCCCCTCCCCAGTGGATGCCCGGAGGGATCAAACTCATTCACCCCGGTTGCCCACGCTGTAATACGGCTTAGGGGGTAATGCACTCCAGTAGGCACCAGGGATTCTGCTTAGTTATATGACGACCTGCTGGGAGACCTTGCTCCCCTCCCTGCTCCTCATCTTCTGCAGAATGAAACAGTTTGAGGAGAAGGAACTTTTCTGTAGAGCCTAGGGCCTTCATACCAGCCTCATCTTGCCTGGTACAGCCCGCTGGGTATTGAGACTCCCGGTGAAAAGTACACGAGCAGTATGACACACATGAACTGGCATCCTTCAAGTTAAGTACTTGCTTAGGATCAAAAAATTCACACAAATATTACAGAAACCTCAGCTCCACGGATAAAAGCCAAGTTTTTAAAAGCAATGCCTCAAAGGCTTTCCGGAAGGCACAGGTTCTGGTATTTCCTTTTTAACAGCAAATGCCTGAAGACTCTTGAACTTAAAAAATGTCTTTTCCTGAGTAAATGTCAAGGATTTATCACAAAGCAAGATGTCAAAAAAGGCATCTCATTCAACACTCGCATAATCTCATAGGCATGGCCATAGTTTCAAGAACGACTCAAAGTAGTTACTGCAACTGAAGCTATGTCAAAAGCCCCACCACACACAGTGCTGTGCATCTTTGGCTTGCCTTTTGGGAGCAAAAAACCTTCAGGTAGAGCCAAGTTCTGTCTTTCCCTACAAAAATCTACTTTGCTCTGTGCTTCCTGAGCAGGCACCACCTGCTCAGCAGTGCCAGAGGTCATTACTGTGACTATAAAAGTAATTTCTCATTGATACTGGCACTTCTTGAGGTGAAAGCAGCAGTAGGGCTCCCCATGTGCCTTCGTCCTGTCATTGTGAAGCAACAATATCCTTATTTTTCAGATCAGTAAATTACCTTGTTGGATCAAAGCTATACTCTATAAAATCCAGAGGGCAAAAATCTTAAATATGAATCTTTAAAGTCATACACAGGACTGTAATACCATAAAAATAGACACTAGTGGAGGGAAGGAATATGACTTTGCCATTTGTTCTGAAACTGATAAGCTCAGATTTCAGTACTATATTCAAGACACAATTAAAAGCTTTCATTAAAATAATGTAAAAACCCCAGCTACAGAGATCTATTTAATCTCTTTCTTACCAAGTGTGGAGATAGCTTTTTATTTATGTTTTAAGAAATAAGGCACCTGAGATCTAGAAAGGTGGCTTCAATCACATTATTAATTGAGCCCTCCATGGTCACATGATGAACTAAGCATTCAGAAGAAAACCCCAATAAAAATCAATCAGTAAAGCTAATCCCAAATTACTTTTCATCCCAAATTTTTGCCCACCCAGCTCTGCTTTCATACAAATGAAGCCCTTACCTGTCATGTCCCTCTGGCCTGCTGGTCTGAGAACAGGAAAGCCACCAGCAAATAAACCTCCCAGGGGCTGCTGAGAGCCACCTTTATTAACAGCTGGGTTACCTCCATCTCTGTTAGCTCCTTTGGGTTCTGTTAAAAAGAACGAAAAATGCAGGGTATATCAGAAAATCATTTCATCCTTGCCCTGAGACTGCTAAAGCCTGGTGGCAACAAAAGCCAAGGCTAAACTTTTCCCTGTCCTGTTATACAGGAACTGCTGTCCCTCTCTGACCTGTACCTTGGAGCACAGCACCCTCTGGTGCTTTTTCAACCTCATGCAAATCGTGACACCAAGAAGCCACTGTGTTAGGCCTAATACTGAATTTACGTTTCCAGAATTTTTCGGCTTTTTTTTTTGTTCTTTTAATCTAATAAAGAACAATTCTTCTGCAAGAGCCAACAATTCCCACCTAACTATTTTATTGAAATGCTCTCAAGGATTTCATCATTCATTATTTATTTTGGAACAAGGAATGCCTGTTAAGGTGATAACTAACATGAAGTGTTAACAGTCATTGATGTCAGAGCAGGACGCAAGTTTAGAAAGTGTCCTCTCTCTGTATCCTAAAGCCATACAATGATGCAGACCTTCGCTGATGTTAAACCTGCCCTTCCATTTGAAGCTGTCCATGTGAACCTCCACCCATGCCTGAGGCTTCAGCAAAGCTCCCCCAGGGCCTTGCTGAGGAGCCCATGCTCACTTTCAATCTGTGGCGCACTGCGGTCGTTGATTTGGGTCACTTTCCTCAGGCGAGTTCCCTGCTGGATATCAGCCAGGAGCGCGTTTCGTGCTTTCTGCTCGTCCTTTCGCAGTTTTGGTAGCTCTGAGCTTGCCTGTTGACAAGAAGAGCTTTAGATGGGAGGTACAGACAAAAATGCGTGTTTAGAAAGGATACACAGGCAAACATGGGATAGAAGATTTGAAATGAGCCCTCCCTGGCAGCTGTCACTCCCAAGCTTTTGAGTCGAATCAACAGGAGCAGCATTCGGTTGTGCAGGAGGAAGGAAAGCTGAAAGTTTAAATACAACACAAAACTAATACTAGTTGGGCTAATACTGTTGAAAACAAATTAGGAGGCATGCTTTATGAAATGTGACCTCATTTGGCTATTTATGGCCTCTGTCCCACAACTCCAGCTCCAACTGCCTCTGTCAGTTCCTATCATGCTATTTACAATGCTTTACATCAAAATTTTTATATGTCAAATTATAATAAATTCCTGGTTTATCCACTTTTCTTAGGAAAAGAGATAGATAAATGCATGCTGCACTTATATTTGAATGTGATCATTAACTTATTTAGACTGCCTCTCTGTACTGGAGATTAACACCACTTTAAGCAGAGTGCCTTTAGAATAATACAATTATGTTTTTGTAACATTTCTATCCTAACCAAGCTTGGTAAGTGTAAAGTCAAGTTGTAGTTTAAAGTTCTTTAATAAAACAAACAAAATTTTTTCTTTATTCTTACTTCTTCAAGTTTATCGTTATATATATTAAAAAAGCATGTATTTTAAAAAATTGGATGTTTCACTTCTTAAAAGCAGATAGCAATGCTGTTATTCCCAAATCTATTGCGATTAACAGAGCAGTCTAATAGAGGGAAATCTTCACATCAGAGGAGCAATCTTCTGCTTGCTACCAAAATTCCCAGAGGTTAGATAACTCTCTAAAGAGAACGAGTACCAGAAATGTTTCCATAGCCCTTAATTTTAGCATCATAGTTGTAATAAAGCTGAACAATACCGTCACACTTGAAAAAACCCCCAAAGCCAACCCAGCTTGGTAATGGCATTCTGAAAGCAAAACAGAAACTTGAAAACACTTAACCAGCTGCTGAATTAATAATGTGTCTAACTCGCTAATCCCAAGTGAAGAATTCTATCAGTACGATATTATTCGTGGTTATTTTTGCACTTGCTAAAATAATCCAAACCCAGCCAGCGGGATTTACTCCGCCCCGCTAGATGGAGCTCCAGACCGCCGCTAACGCTGCCGCATTCCCGAGCCCTGATGTAAAAACTCGGAATTACAACCTGCTATGTAACCACGTGCTATTTTAAAATGTTAGGAAAACCCCCACTCTGTTACATTTTCCTCGTTTGAAACAGCGCTGCCTGCCCTCGTACTTGCATAGCAGGGAGTCCCACTGCCCATTACGAGGGCCCAGAAGAGCTGCCCGTGTCAGCAGTGTTACACCGTGTACCAGCCACAAACCATTTCCACTCCCCTTCTCTGGAAGCTGACAGTACTTACTGTGAAAAATGGAAATACCATAACTGGAACAAGGGTGATTCCCTTCCTCACAAAAGCTCTTTACCAGTATCTTCAACTTCTTGTGTCTCTACTCCCACTAATAACTTTGCTGTGGCAGGGCAAGCAGGATCTAGAGGGATCTGATCAAGAGCTATGTTTAAAATTAGACCTAGCAGCTGTCTTTCATTTCCGGGTTCAAGCGTCCATATATTATGCCAGCTGTCCACTTCACCTCCCAGATCTACTTTCCTGGGCAGACAGGCTATTAGAATACAAAGTCTTGATACCCAGACGGCTATGAGGTTAAAATAACCAACTTGTGGTGGCTTGTGGCAAGTGACCTATAACTTGATATCAATGTAACACAAGCAAGACAAAAATCTGTGGCATAAAAAAGCAGGACTGTTGTTCTGCCATCCCATAATGCAGCATAATAAGCTGCCTCTCTCTTACAATAGATTCCCTTACTCCAAGCATAACTCCATCCCATGCCCCAGCTGTTTCTTCTTCCTCCTCATGTACGTAAAAGATTCAATCTTCCGTGCCCAGCCCGGTGGACTCAGATGATTGATTAGCTGCCGAGGAGCTTGATATGGATTCTCTTTTTCCATTACAAAGTCAAGATGGTCTGGGCTGTAGTGCTCCCTGGTTGCACAGCAGCCAGAGCTCCTTCAGATTTCTTGTTTGCTGCCTGCATTCCCAAGGCCAGTGATAATCCTTGCCAAGCAATGTTTCACCAGGTAAGTATCTCACCATCTACTGGTGTCCAGCATTTGCAAATTTCTGGATTTACCATATTGTTTTTTGAGACAACCTTCCTTTCTTTGATGAAGAAATATATCTTGGATTCACACTCATGCTGTGCTTGCAATCCACAGCACAAGCACAGATAACAAACATGCAATAGAAGTGTGAAAGGAAGGAAGGAAGATGTATTTGCCTTCCTTTCAGCAGGAAGACAAATACATTTTAAGTCACAGAGGGAAAACAGCTGCAAGACAAAAGATGTAATTCTTAGGCTACTTTCTACCCCAACATCTGCAGGGCAGCCTCACTTATTTACAAAAAGAGAAACATCTCAGTATTTCAATGAAAATCAGAAGGGAAGTGGAGAAGAATGTGAAGATCATTTGTTTTATCAGATGCCAGAGCTGCCTCAGGTAACACAGAGTGAAATTAAATTCCATTCTTTATTTACAGGAATTGGTAAGGGAATGGTGGGTTCTCATTACCTTAGCAACCACTAGGTTATTCTGCTACTATTTCAGACACAATGAACGTCACGTTCAGTACATACTTAGAAACAGAATGGAACAAACCACACATGTAAATAGCCTGAACCTAAGAATTAGTTCCTTTTCATCTCGCCCAACTCCACCACATTTTGTTTTCAGTGTCCTAAATTACACACTCATCTATGATATGCAGTGAAGTACAGGACTAATGTTTAGGCTATCCGTCAGGTCTTCAAAATACTTGTAAATAGGAAAATACCATCAAATCACATTTTTTTTAGAGTGATGTTTCAGACTGTAAATCATCAGTGTTGGAAATAAACATTTCAGAATTTGAAGCTGGTAACTTAGACTAGTGGAACTATGAATGAGGACGGCATGAATATAGAGAGAGATCTAAATCAGTGCAGCTTGAGGCTGTTTGAAAAGAACAACAAACCAAAACATGTTTTCCCACTGCTACTTGGAGGGGGGAAAGGAGAAAGAAAATGCACAATATAAAAACATCAAATGTAAAACTGAAAGTGGCTGTATTACAAATAATGGTCATATCTCTGAAACTAAAGCCTACATTCCAAGTCCCACAAGGCTGGACCTGGAAGGGGGCTCCAGCAGCAAGCCTGAATTAGCAAGTATGGCAAGGAGGGGTAGTACACTCCTCCAATATGTCCCATCCTTTCAGAAAAATACAGTGTGAGCAAAAATGCAATCACAAGCTCAGTTCTAGTCTCCAGATTTTTAAAATTACATTGTGGAAACATGGTGGTGCAAAAGAAAGAGCCAAAGCAGCGTTCAAGACACCAGAGGCAACAGCTCAGATTTCAGCAACTCTGTTTTGACTGTCAGCCCTGAAGTCTGAGGGGTGGTCTGCCTGCACACAACAACCTGTACTGGGAATGGTGGGGAGGACTCAGCAGCAGAGACAGGCATTTGGTGAATTAATGGGAGATGCAAACAGACAAGCCACAGACAGCAGCAGATTATCAATCTCTTGATAATACTTCAGATCAAGGCTGGATCCTCTCTGGCAGAAGTGTTTTTTGTGAAGCACAAGTCACCAGGTCCTGTGCAGAGCTACTTGGTGATGTGCAGTACCCTGTGGTGGAGTGGCACAGCCAGTGGTTTGTAACAGCTTCTTCCAGTTTGGAGTTCTGTGAAAGTGGATTGCTTACTTTAGAAGAACAACTCTCTACTTTTACACTTTCCATACATGGACCACTCTAGGTTTGACCCTGAATAATCACAATCTTAACATCCTAAAATTGAGTTGTATCAGACAAATTAAGAACTGAGAGACTTTTTCTAGGGAAAACTGACTGAAATGCATGGCAATGAGCTCAATTTCTGGGTACACTCTGCTGTGATATTTGCATCACATTCAGAATGTCACTTTACATCCTGCAAGACAGATGGGAGCATCGACCTACCCTCTGGGCTCCTACAATACTTAAAATATTTAAGAGACATACGTGCTCAGATACTAAAGTGATGTAAATGCAGAAGACACCAGCCATTTGAAAAAGGTTATATTAATACTAATTATAATCTTCAGATTTTAAAGAGTACCCCTGCACACAGAAAAGGGGAAATCCTCTGGACTCTGGACAGGTGGTTCACTCACAGTTCATACATACTGTCCCATAAATGGCTTGTATTTCCTCTGATTTTAAATATGCTCTTGAATGCATTTGTAAAGTACTTCAGGTAATACAGATCTACATAAACAGGACAGCTGCAGGAAAAATGTACCTCTAGCCTTCTGGACAACCCAACAACCAGGCAGTCATGGGCCTTTCTTTCAGAGTAAACCCATCAGGTGATGTGAAAAGATGATCCAGTACTAAAATGATCCAGTTCTAAATTAGATAGGAGCCATAAGTAAGATAAAATAAAGCATTATTCCATCCACAGGCACTACATACTCTTACTCAGAGAACTTAATAGTACCAAGTATTTACACTTCTAATGTGCAATGAATTGTATCATCATAGTAGATTCCTTCTCCTGGTCATATTTTACAGGAAACACTGGGAAGACACCTGTGTATAAAATTATTTATTTATCTGAAATAGATAAAAAACTAAAACAAAAAAATTCAAAACATATTTAGCTTTTCCCTAATTATTTTGTGAGACATATAACAATAACATTAAAGACCAATCAATACATTTGCCATCAGAATTTTATTATGGGCAGAAGGAAAGCTTTCTCTTTTGCTGACAATATAAATTATTTCTATGAATCTGGTGGCAATTAACCTTCTTCTCTCCCATTACCAGTTTTTCCTCCTGTAGAAAAAATCCCCCAGATTCAATGCAGAGATAAAGCACAGGTACTGGCAGA